AGAAAGCTTCCAAATCAAGGATCTTTCACACAGATGGCTCATATTTCTACGCTGTGATATTCCCATGTGCTTAACAACAGCAGTGTAAAGAGTTACCATTTTGTTTAATTAAATTTGCCACTCTTGGAAAGGTTTTGGGAGCTTCAATAGGTGCATCTCTTTTGATGTTTTAGAAATGGACAATTTCTTATTTGGATTTAAACTGAAAAAAGACCCAAATGGCATTTTGGAGTAACAGTAAATACCACTAACATTTCCATTTGCATTTTCAACTAACACTCCAGAAATGTAGTAGAGTTAAAATGTAAAAATAGCTGTCCAGCCAGATGAGAGTAGACAGTTGTTTCATCGGCAGCTGTCTCGGGGAACCCGCTGGACATCATCAGTGACCCTTGTGGGTCCTGGGACCCTAATTTAGCAACCACTTCTCGAAACCTCTTAGTATCAAGCTGCAGTGGACCCTGATACTCTGGCTGCCTGCGGTCTCTTCAGCCCTGCCTGCTGCAGAACCAGTGCTGGAATATTTTGTCTGCAACCGACTGTGACATTCCTGGCAGTCACAACAAAGCCAGGCAGAATTTTAGGTTTAGCCGAGAGGTGGCAGGGGAACAAGAAGAGGCCTCCAAGAGCTGCACAGACTGAAATACAAGCAGCGGGATGTGCTTTTTATGGTACGCATTCTTGGTTTGTAGCTTGACGTTCTTGTCCAGGATGACGCTTAGTGTCTGCTCAACTTTAAAAAGGAGTCAAAGTTTAATTAGTACGGATTACCAAGATTTGTAGGCAGTATAAAAGAAAGACTAGATTTGACTTCAGCACATTGGTCATAATTTCTACTTTGAAATTCAAGCAAATTTTAACATAATCTATGGGAAAGAAATGTCAGTTTGACCAGATTAAATTTATATGAACGCTAATAAACCTGGGTAAGCATATGTGAACCCAAAAATGATCAGAGATTTGCAGCAACACAATTCAACAACCATACAGTACAAAACATGCATATACCCAGGCACAAGAGGTTACCTCATGCTATTAGATGTTAGAAATTAATTTCACATCAATTTCAGTGTTTCCCACAGATTTAGTATCGTTTCTTAAATTAACTATCAAATAATATAATTTATAAGTTTCCCTTTGAATATTTTGCCATGTGAAACTCAAAATCTATTGCTTTGGACTGCCTGACCAGGCTGGTCCTAAATTTGCAGAGTATCTCCAGAGCATGCAATGGACTACTGCCTTATTACAAGTCAGTGTTGTTGTACTCTGTCTAGTCAGTGGAGGGAATCGTCACTGGGAATAAATCTGAATAATGTAGAGCATAGGTCTTCAGTTAACATTTAAGGAGGTCCATTTGGAGAAAATGTCCTCAAACAAATATCCAAAATGAGAGAGACAGCACTACTCTGGAATCAACAGGGTAGTTGGAGCCATTTTTCTGGAGAGCTTATGGTAAATATTAGGGATGTTCTTGATGATCAATTTATTAGTTGATTACACTTGGAAAATATAAAAGCAGAAAAGCCTCAGAAAACATTTAGAACTGAGCACAATCAAATGGACATGTTTAAACTTTGGCCATATATATTGTTGCTTAAAAAAACTTTCATTAAATTTAAAACAATTTGATAACAAAATTGTAGTGTTTTAAAATGTTTTAAATGTCTCTGAAATGAGTGTCACACAATGCCACGCCTATGGAGAAAACGGTTAGGCAGCACTTCAGTCAAGTGGTTATATCGTTTTACTTTGACAAAGGCGACATACGACTGCTTGTTTTTGACATTAAGGTATTCCAGAAACAGTGCTGCTTTGCTCAGCTGCCATCTGCTTGCTTTGTACCTTGTTCATTTCCAACCTCCCATCACTGAAAGAGGGAAGGGTGTGGTTGCCCATCAGTGCTACAGCCCTGGTTAATCAAAGCTGCATCAAAACATTGTTAAACCAACTGGTTACTGCTGTTATACTTTAATATAAATAAATATATCAAGTTGTTTCTCCACAGATCAACTCTGTACTGTGTTAATGCCAATGCTGATAGACATAGGATAATTAAAGTTGACTTAATTTGAAAACGTACTCGCTTATATATATATATATGTTAGTATATATAAGTTTTCAAATTAAGTCAACTTTAATTATCCTAAGTTATATAAGCTTTTTCTTAAACCCCAGTACAAATTTACTCCAAGTTCATCCTATCACTCCTCCACCCACAAGTCAGAAATGGATTTGGAGTGTAGTCTTTCCTTTTCTCTTAATTTTTGTAATTTTCTATTCATCACAGGCTCGCTGTTAGATGTTCACCAGAGACATTCTGCCCACCACCTGCAGTATTTCATCATGCACAGCTAAATCCCTGCAGCTAGTAAACCTGTCAGCCCCATGCTGCGTGCATACTTGGCTAGCTGTAAAGCGGGGGCTGGCTAACGGCTTTAGCAGTGTAGAGCTAAGAGGCTAATGTTGTTGTGTTAGGGGTTAAATCGGTATTATCCTCTCCTTGGTGGACCAGTAGAGACAGAGGACAGACAGGGTGACTGGGTTCATGAAAATAAAGAGAGAGAAAGTGGAATCGGACCTCTGTTCGAGCAGGGCTTTCCTGTGTTTTAATTCAATAACCAGGACACTGCACCAGCAGCTGTTCCTTCAGATATAACCCAAGGTCAGAGCCTGCATGAACCAGCGTTACATTACATAATCATTCAGCCGCTTTTACAAAATGTAGATAAAGAAGTAGCTTTGACCCCTCAACGGTAAATGCCAACAAGATATGTTAATAATTAATCTTTTTTCCAGCTCCAAAACAATGGTCTCTTTATTTTTCTTTTTTGTTACAGAGACCTGCTGTGATACTAGTGTTAAATTTAAAAGCTGTTTTACTCACTTTGAAGAAGTGCCTGAGCAATTATTCTTGTGTCTCAATCAACATCAAGTTCGACTTAAACATCACTTTCCCAACTTTGGAAGTTAAATATAAAAGGTTGAACTGAAATGATGTAAGTGGAGTTGACTGCAACATGTTATGGTAGTGCAAGTGCAATAAAAGCTTCCTAATAAGTGTTAAACTAAAAGTACTGACAATGACACAGAGAGGATGAAGTCGACAGGGAGATTTTTTTTTTGTTT